AAGACACACACAACACAGAAGATTGTGAAAGTACTCATAAGAAATGCACCAATTGTTCTGGAGACCATTCCTCTTTCTCTAAAAATTGCCCAATTTGGAAGCTACAGATGGAGATTAACAAGATCAAATTCACTCAAAATATTAGTTTCGCCGAAGCCAAACAGCTCTTCCAAAGATCTGAATTAAAAGAAACGTATGCTTTCAAAACCAGGACACCATCTGAGGCAACTCCTAAAGTAACAAAATCATCTTAAAGCTGCCAAACAAATTTGACTTGGGTGAAAACCGCTTCTCCGCAGATTTTCTCAACTGCAATATCGACTCAAATGGCAGAGTCACTTCCTGGAAGGTCCAAAAGTCAACCAGAGCCAGATCATGATCATGATATATCGTCTCAGTCTTCCACAAGGTCTCAATTGCAATCTAATGTACATCACATTACTAAAAGCAAGATAGTTTATTCCAATAACATCGTTCAGTGGAATTGCAAAGGACTACGGCATAATTACAATGAGTTACAGTTATTAGTCCAGGATTGTATGCCGTCTGCATTTTGTCTGCAAGAGACTTATTTCAAGCAGACAGTTCCGTTTGACCTACGTCATTTCAATGCTTATCATTATTTCTCACCTCCAGGTGACAGAGCCACTGGAGGATCTTCAATCCTAGTCAAACAGAATGTTATCCATAGCCCTATTATACTTACTTCTAATCTTCAAGCAGTTGCAGTGCGACTCACTTTACACGTTGCATTTACAGTATGCTCTTTGTATATCCCTTCGTCTTCAGTCATTCAAAACACTGATCTTCAAACTCTATATGACCAACTACCAAAACCCTGTATTATTTTGGGGAATTACAGGGCCAGAACCCACTTTGGTACAAGTACTAATGCTAAAGGTAAACTGTTAGAAGAGTTCTTTTCAGATTTATGCATATGCAATGACGGTTCCAACACCTATTTACATCCTGGCACTGGAACTTATTCGACGTTTGATTTATCAATCACGAATTCAAACCTACTGAATGAATTTGAATGGTCAGTTCACGATGACCTCTGTGGAAGTGACCATTTCCCTACAATTCTAACACCCGTGAACCCATCTGATATTACTCCATCTTCAAGATGGAACTTTAAAAAGGCTAACTGGCCTTTATATCAAGCTCTGTGTTGTAGCAGACTTAAACCTGAACTTTTATAGAAAGTCCTGATCCTATAAATGATGTCTCTGATGCACTAATTGTTCTGGAGACCATTCCTCTTTCTCTAAAAATTGCCCAATTTGGAAGCTACAGATGGAGATTAACAAGATCAAATTCACTCAAAATATTAGTTTCGCCGAAGCCAAACAGCTTGTCCAAAGATCTGAATTAAAAGAAACGTATGCTTTCAAAACCAGGACACCATCTGAGGCAACTCCTAAAGTAACAAAATCATCTTCAAGCTGCCAAACAAATTTGACTTGGGTGAAAACCGCTTCTCCGCAGATTATCTCAACTGCAATATCGACTCAAATGGCAGAGTCACTTCCTGGAAGGTCCAAAAGTCAACCAGAGCCAGATCATGATCATGATATATCATCTCAGTCTTCCACAAGGTCTCAATCGCAATCTAATGTGCATCACATTACTAAAAGCAAGATAGTTTATTCCAATAACATCGTTCAGTGGAATTGCAGAGGACTACGGCATAATTACAATGAGTTACAGTTATTAGTCCAGGATTGTATGCCGTCTGCATTTTGTCTGCAAGAGACTTATTTCAAGCAGACAGTTCCGTTTGACTTACGTCATTTCAATGCTTATCATTATTTCTCACCTCCAGGTGACAGAGCCACTGGAGGATCTTCAATCCTAGTCAAACAGAATGTTATCCATAGCCCTATTACACTTACTTCTAATCTTCAAGCAGTTGCAGTGCGACTCACTTTACACGTTGCATTTACATTATGCTCTTTGTATATCCCTTCGTTTTCAGTCATTCAAAACACTGATCTTCAAACCCTATATGACCAACTACCAAAACCCTGTATTATTTCGGGAATTACATGTCAACAACCCACTTTGGAACAAGTACTAATGCTAAAGGTAAACTGTTAGAAGAGGTATTTTCAGATAATGATTTATGCATATACAATGACGGTTCCAACACCTATTTACATCCTGGCACTGGAACTTATACGACGCTTGATTTATCAATCACGAATTCAAACCCACTGAATGAATTTGAATAGTCAGTTCACGATGACCTCTGTGGAAGTGACCATTTCCCTACAATTCTAACACCTGTGAACCCATCTGGTATTACTCCATCTTCAAGATGGAACTTTAAAAAGGCTAACTGGCCTTTATATCAAGCTCTGTGTTGTAGCAGACTTAAACCTGAACTTTTTATAGAAAGTCCTGATCCTATAAATGATGTCTCTGATGAACTAATTAAGATTTCTGATGAGTGTATCCCCAAATCCTCTGCAATTCCACACATACGAAAACCATGGTTCAACAATGAGTGCAAACAGGCTCGGAAGGCACGGAAGAAGGCTGAACATTATTTCTGTCGCCATCCTATGGTCCATAATTTGAATACATTCAAAATTTTAAATGCTAAAGCACGGCGTAACTTCAAGTAAAGTAAACGTCAATCCTGGCGAAAGTATGTGTCAAATATAAATTCACGAACACCAATATCTAAGGTATGGAACATGATCCAGAAAATAAATGGTAAGGGCTCTAAATCTAGCATTAAGCATCTCAAAGACGGAGACGAATTATTAACTAGTAAATCCGACATTGCAATTACACTTGGAGAAACATTCTTCGTCGTCGAATTATGTGCCTCAATTCCAAAAGTATACAACACAACAGGAAAAGAAAACTATTAATTTCAATTCAGATAATGGGGAAGATTATAATGAATTATTTTCTATTCATGAGCTTCATACTGCTCTTGAGCAAGCTCATGATACTGCTACAGGGGCTGACAACATACATTATCAGCCCCTGAAGCACTTGCCTGAATCATGTTTAGAGACCCTCTTCAACATTTTTGATGACATTTCGACGTCTGGAAACTTTCCTTCTTCATGGCGCGATGCTGTTATTGTACCCATTCCTAAACCCGGACGTGATCATACTGATCCTTCCAATTATCGACCGATCTCACTAACTAGCTGTGTTTGCAAAACCATGGAACGCATGATAAATAATCGACTTGTTTGGTACTTGGAAACGCAAAACCTTATAACGGATATACAATGTGGTTTCCGCAAAAACAAGTACTGTCGATCACTTAGTGCGTTTGGAATCATTTGTTAAAAACGCTCTAATTAATAAACAGCACGCTGTGTCTAATTTTTTTTTGTATCTAGAAAAGTATGTGACACTACCTGGAAATATGGAAATATATTTTAAGAGATTTACATGGCTTCGGATTGCGAGGCCATTTGCCTCAATTTATAGCCAACAGACAATTTCAAGTCCGCGTGGGTTCTACCCTGTCTGATCATTACAATCAGGATCAGGGTGTCCCACAAGGCAGTATTTTGTCAGTGACTTTATTTAGTATCAAGATTAACAGTTTATTCAAGGTTTTAATGGATCATTATTTGTGGGTGATTTTAATATTTCTTGTCGTGGGAAAAATATGCATACTATTGAACGGCAACTACAGTTGTGTTTAAACAATATAGATAAATAGTGTCTTGAAAACGGCTTTAAATTTTCTAAATCAAAAACTAATTGTATACATTTCTGCCGTAAATACAAACCTCATAAAGACCCAGAACGATCTTTAAAGGGCACTCCCATTAAAGTTGTCAAGGAGGCCAAGTTCTTGGGTCTAATTTATGACTCCCATCTAACGTTTCTGCCGCTATTAAATCCCTTAAAACTAAATGCCTGAAGGCACTCGACTTGTTGAAAGTCGTTTCAAATTCTAAATGGGGAGGGGATCAAGCTACCCTCCTCCATCTGTATCGATCACTGGTCCGTTCTAAACTTGATTATGGCTCCATCGTCTATAGTGGAGCTTGCAAAAGCAGCCTAAAACTACTTGATTCTGTCCACCACCAAGATCTAAGACTTTGTCTTGGCTCTTTTAGAACTTCCCCTGTTGACAGCCTCTACGTCGAGGCCGATGAGCCATCTCTTACACAACACAAAAGTTTATTATAACGAGTCTAACCCTGCATTTAACTGTGCCTTTAATCCTCTTTATGAGGATTTGTACAACAAAAAGCCCTCTCTTGTTTATTTGCTTAAAGGTGAGGATCCTCCGTTTTGTATCCCTTGTGATGAAAGAATCACGGTCAAGCATGTCCTGCTTGACTGCATTGAATATTCCATCACAAGGGATAACTATTTCAAAGCACGAACTATGAAGGATCTTTTTACCAATGTCAGTTCTCATTTAATTATTGCATTTTAAAAAGAATTGATAACTGATTTGTAAATAGATAAATATTTTATGATTGGAAGTTTGAATTAATACCTGAGATTGTTAGTGGCTGTGCCCTCAAAGGGGGTTGAAGTAGCGTAAAATTGTTGTCCTCCTGAGAGGGAACGTTAGTCAGAAAACTTTCAAAGGAAATTTAAATTTACCACCTGTTTTAAATGTTGCATTTCTGTCCTTTTAATTTTGGCTAAATTGACTTCAATCGCCAGCGGCTAAAGGGATGATATAAATCCAGCTAGGATCCATGCAGGTAGCAAAAGTACTTATAAGTCCTCATGGTCCCTAGTATGGTGATCTACCCTCAGTTGTTGGCGATCTATAGCCTATTTTTATATTGTGTTGTCCCCTAAAGTTAAAAAGTTTTAGATTTAATTACTAGTTTTACATGTATATCTGTGATATTCTAGTTGTTTTACTGTCCTTCGTCGATAGGTTTTTATAATATCAATATATGTATTCTATTTTAATGTCAAATGTTCTCGTCACGATATGGCTGAAATATTGCCGATGTGACGTTAAATATTAACTCACTCACTCACTCACTTACATTAATGTTCAGGGGCGCGTAGTTATCCTTGGTGAAAGGTTCATCTGGCATCTGTGTTTTCACAACATAGACTCTGCTAGGAGACTTCGACTCTGCTCTATCTACCTATTAGTAGAAAGAGGTATGTTGTATGTATGAAACAGCGCATAATATATTGTCAACACATTTGTTAAGTTTCGTCTGGGTTTTGTTTCTGAATATCCATGGAACCTTCATCTATGCAATAATTTACGTCTTAATTGTTGATCACTTGCTCCTGTTTTGCACCATTAATTAATGAAGATGCATAATATACTGAACCACAAAAGAAACGTTATCTTTCAAAACCAAATGGAAAATGTGTTTCTTAAAACATGGTGATTTTATTATGATTGTTCCGTTTTGTTAACATGTTTTTTTCAATATAAATTAACAGTTATTAACCGGCATCAGTGTGTTTTCTGATGAAAAAGCATATCGACCAAACGCACATAAAAAGGCAGCTGCGGTAAAAGATTCCGTATGACATTCCTGAAAATGCACATGCACATCGTGACAACCCTGCCAATGAAAGTGAGTCCCAACTCGCCTGAAATCATTCTTGTTATTACACAATCGCCATGCCACGATTTAAGAGAGATCAGAAGAACCAAGCCTAGGGACGATTGCAAGTTGGACAGACTGCACGCAAGGGTAGCCAATTTTGATATTCATGCTAAGACAATCTACCGCGGCAGGAGCGGTATCAGGCCACTAACAACATCCAAGACCGTCCACGCAGTGGACGACCTTACATTACAACTTACATTACAAGTTCTAGACAAAAATTCTGCTCAGTAGTGCTCTCCGAATAACTCGAGATGAAAAGTCAGACACGGTATGTTTCCAAAAGGCATGTCTTCAGTTTGGATTTTAAAAAAAATCTGCACGTTGTTAATTGTTCTTAGCTCCAGTGGAAGTTGATTCCAGAGAGTGGGTCCTGCCATCTGAAATGATCGATCCCCAAACCTTGTGCTGGACCTAAAGTCAACAAGCAGACCAAGATGTTCAGATCGGAGACTTCGGTTGGGCTGCTATCTGGTGACCAGGTCAGATGCACACTTGGAGCTTGGGTATTGAGACACTGGAAAACAACAAGTTTGAGTTTGTTTTGGATTCAGTCTGATATTGGCAGCCAGTTTAACAGGGGTTATGTGAAAGTATTTCTGTGATATAGAGACAAGTCTAGCAGCAAAATTCTGTACGCGTTGGAGCTTTCCTTTTGGGGATTGAGGCAGGCTAGAGTAGACAGTTGGTTGTCCTTTCATCAAGGTAGCGCCGGATTTGCCAGATGTTCCGTAAGTGGTAGAATGAATTGCTGCATACTGACTTAATATGAGCATTCAGAGATAGGTGAGAGTCAAAAATAACACCAAGGTTCCTTGCCTCAGGACGTGGGACAATGATATGACCGATAATGTGGAGGTCTGGTAGAGGAACATGTTTAGCAACTCGCTTTGAGGTAATGATGAGGACTTCTGTTTTCTCTCCATTCAGCTTCAGCCAGTGTGTTGTCATACTATACGATGTTTGATTGCCTTTACGCAGCTCTCAATTAACTCACATATACAACTGTGTGTCATCAGCGTAAAGGTTGAAGGAAAGGCTGTAACACCTGGCTATGTCTCATAAGGGCCAGGTGTTAACTGTGAATAACAAGGGGCCTAAGACAGATCCCTGCGGAACTCCATAGACAAGATCCTTTGAGACAGATGAGTGGCCACCGATTACGACACGTTGGTATCTTTCTGGTAGGTATGGACGGCTCCACTGAAGCACAGTCCCATTGATACATATTTTTTCCTTCAGGGTGCTAATGAGGATGTCATGGGCGAACGTGTCGAATTAGAATTGCAGCACCATTCTTGTCAACTCCTTGAAGGAGGTCATTCAGGACTCTCACCAAAGCCGTTTCCGTGCTATAGTTCGTAAGGTATGCAGACTGCAAAGGCTCCCAACATTCGTGGGCAGAAATGTGTTCTTTTCTGTGTCCTACCACACCTTCCAAAAGTTTGGAGACAAAAGGAAGATTTGACACTGGCTGATAATGTCTCAAAATATCTGGGTTGAGGTTCGGTTTCTTCAGCAGTGGGGTGATAACTGCATCCTTAAGATGCACAACATATCCCTCAGACAGAGATGAGTTGACGACGGGTACAATAGCATGCATACGGTTCTTCATGAGCCATGTTGGCATCACGTCAAGTTGACAGGATTTGTTGGGAGACTGCTGTATGAATCCTTGAATGTCTTGTTCGTTGACAGGATGAAAAGAATTCAAACTACATTTACTGTCAATGTCGATTTGTAATGATCGAATAGAAATGCATCTGATCACGCTTGCAGTCAAAGTTGATCGCATATTGATAATCTTAACCAGGAAGAAGTCAGACAACAAGGTGCATAGTGCAGCCCCGAAAACGGGGTGGTCAGTTTCTTGTTCTGGCTGAACAGGAGCTTATTGGTGACAGCATAAACCTCCTTTTCTCCCTTGACATTGTGTAGAGTGCCCTTGAAGTAGCCATGTTTTGTGGTCTCCACCAGTGCACCTAAATGATTTTTCTCAAGTGCCTCATGAATAGCAAGGCCACTGAACCGCATCTGCTTCTCAAGGCAGCGTCGCCTGTGTTTTGCTTGACGGATTTTATCGTTGTACCAAGGGGGCCTCTGCATGGACTGTAATTGTACAACGTTCCTCTGGTGCATGTTTATCTACAATACTTGTCTTGTTACCATTGTACATATGATAAGCATCAGAAACAGATAAAGCGTCATATTCTGACAACTCTGGTACCAAATATGAACTGAATGTGTCAATGGGAATATCGTTTCCCTTTGTGTAGAGTATTGTCTATGTTTACTTCGTACAAGACCCGTGAAGATCCGGGGAAGAATAGGTTTTTCAGCAACCCGTGCTTACCCCCAAAAGGCGACTATGCGGATCGGTGGTCAGGCTCGCTGACTTGGTTGACACGTCACCGGTTCCCAATTGCGCAAATCGATGCTCATGATGTTGATCACTGGGTTGTCTGGTCCAGACTCGATTATTTACAGACCGCCGCCATATAGCTGGAATATTGCTGAGTGCGGCGTAAACTAAACTCCCTCCCTCAGTTCGTACAACACAGCAAAGTGATCTAACTGTACAGATTGATCACGTCTGATGCTGTCCACATTCACATAGGGTGGTGGGGTAGCCTAGTGGTTAAAGCGTTCGCTCGTCACGCCGAAGACCCGGATTCGATTCCCCACATCGGTAAAATGTGTGAAGCCCCTTTCTGGTGTCCCCCGCCGTGATATTGCTGGAATATAAAACCATATTCATTCACCATATTCACATCCTGGCGTATGATGACAAGGTCCAGGGTGTGGCCCCCGGTGTGTGTAGCCATTGTCACATGCTGAACCAGATTATGTAATTGTAGCAGTCCTAGGAATGTCGCACCATCTTTGTCTTGCACTTCATCAACATGATAGTTGAAATACCCACAGACAAGTAAGTGAGTGAGTTAATATTTAACATCACATCGGCAATATTTCAGCCATATCGTGACGACAAAAAGTTATGTACTAAGAATAAAAATATTAAAAACCTGTCAGCGAAGGACAGTATAACAACTAGGCTATCACAAATGATTAAAACTAGTTTGAGTTCAGTGTAAAATTGTAAATCATTGCAAAACAACACAATATAAAATCGGGCAATAGATCGCCAACAACTGACCTACAGACGAGTATTTTGCCAGGGAGGTTGGCGGCTGCATCCAGTTATTCCGAAAATTCATAAAAAATAGAGGTGTTTTCTTTGGAGGTCTGTATACTGTAATTATAGTGAGAGTTGTATCGGTTGTAAACTTAAGAGCCAAAAGTTCATAAGTGGTCTGACTGTTTGGTACTTTTGCTTTAGTACATTTGATACTGTCTCTATGATTAACAACAAGTATGTAACTTGTGGCTTACTGTCCCCTTCTTCCTCCCCTTCGTGTTTTCTTGACTCTACATGGTCCTAGTTCTCACAGCTCCTTGAGAGTTGACAAAGGTACTGTAGTGATCGGTGCTTCTGCACTCGTACATCGGGTTTCATCGGACTGACCATCCAATGTTACTTGTATGTTTCCGGGTGTGACCGAGGAACGTAATCCAATTACCCGCCAAATCTGACAGGTGACAGACGACAGATCGACACAGACGACAACAGACTTAATTCGCTAAAAGTTGATCTGCCCACTCATCGACGCTTACGAAGCAAGGTAAGCACCTTTCCCTGTCACTAGGCTTCCACACCCTGTAAAGTTTATTGTCGTTAACACTAAGGCGAGACAGTGGAGACAGATAAAATAACATGAGAACCAATGCTTGGATAATGGTTGTTAGGTAATCCATTCTCTCTGAAATATCCCGTCAATCAGTGCTGTAAGCCATCCTGGGTCACAGAACAACAGACGTCCACATCAAAGATATATGGTGATAAGTCAGCTTGGGTGGTGAGCTCTTTCAATGCCCTTTTTGAAAATGAAATATATATATTTTGACAGAAAACTCCTGTGTTTATTGCCGAATGTACTTTTCAAAGCTGTAAACAGACTTCATAAATAGATTCCTTGTATCTTATTCCATATAAGTTGTGGAACATTGTCTGTTCTGTGGAATACAGTGTTTCACGTTTCATTCAGAGCTGAACAGAGGTGCAGCCAGCGGGCGAAGCAGTCTTAAATACCATCTGTGGGATCGCGGCGGAAACAGCACGCCAGACCATTGGGACTCACAAGAGACACATTAGTTCCGATAATCACCAACGTTTGCGCGGAGGAAACCTCTGCTGTCACAGACCATATCGTGGTCCTGTCCTCACCGCTGGTCACCGCCAAAACCGACTGAAATGGGCAACTCGAAATTGGCGTTATCGACAATGGAGAAATGTGCTATTTTTCTGATGAAAGCCGATATTGTGTTTCGACAGCCGATGACAGAGTGAGCGTATGGCGAAGGCATGGGGATGGGTTGTCCATCAATTGCATTGTCGAAAGAGACTCGTGGGGTGGTCCAAGCATCATGCTGT